GAAAAATTTTCCCATCTCTTATTGAGTCACAAATGAAAACCCATGGAGACCCTCAGCCCAGTGGTTCTCAACCTTCCTAACGCTGTGACCTTTTAATACAGTTCCTCATGTTGTGGTGACCCCCAACCCTAGAATTATTGTTGTCGCTACTCCATATCTGTAATTTTGCTGCTGTTATTGAATCATAATGTAAATAAATATCTGACACGCAGGATATATGATATGTGATTCCCCCCAAAGGGTTCATGACTCACTGGTTGAGAACTGCTGCTCTAGCAAGATCTGGAGGGGCAAAGGTAAACATAGTACCTCCCTCTCTATGTAGATGATAGGCACTGTTGCAAGAAATCCCTTTTCATGAAGCAGTGGGGGAGTTGCAGGTGGGTGGGTGGGCATCAGGGTCAGGAACCTGGCACAAACACAGGTGTTAACCTGGTTTTGAGTAAACCATCTCACAGAGCCCAGTTTCTTCCTAAAACACCACTGTCACGTCCCACCTCGTCCAGCAAGGAAAAACGCAACACCCGGAGCTCTTCTTGCAGCAGTTTTCAGGACTTTATTCACTTTCTCTCTCTTTTCCCCTCTCTCCTCTCTCTCTCTCCTCTCTCTCTTTTCCTCTCTCCCTCCCTGGGCAAACCTCTCCCAGCCCTTAAGTAGGCATGGGCTGCCAATCCTGACTGCCAGGTGGGCACTGCCCATAGGTTCACGCATATGCAGGCAGCTGATAATCATTGCGTGATCATAGCATAGGTCAGGCCTTAGCCATCTCAGGAGTTGATTATACATCTCCATCAGGTGTGACACCACGCAGCTCTCTACACACCACGATAGGTAAGAACACTATGGAGCCTGAGAAGGCCCAGCATCCAGTGCCAGCCCTAGCACCACCCACTAGCCATGGTCCAGTAACTTAGCCCTCTCACCTGTCCTCTGCTCACCTGTATGGTAGGTCTTTATAGGACTTTCCCTGTGGGGTATTTTGGGACGTTAAGTAAGGCTACTGGACCAAAGTCCTTGCAGTCATCAAGAACTAACCCAGAACTGATGCAAAACACTCAGGATAATTTAAAAGAAAGGCTTTATGGGGGGAGTTTTGTTCTATGCAATGTGGGGCTTATCAAACAGTTTGTAGGAGGCTGTTGCTTCCATGTTTGGGGCTGAGGCCAACAGAGCATTTGGGAAGGAAAAGCCAGGAGCTAAGTGAAGACAATGGAAGCCTGGGGTGGAACATGCTAGGTGAGCAAGTGCCTGGCAGGCTCTCGTCTTGCTTGGTCTCCAGCTCTTTTGTTTGCTTTTTTGTGTTTTGTTTTTTTGAGACAGGGTTTCTCCATGTAATAGTCCTGGCTGTCCTGAAACTCATTTTGTAGACCAAGCTGGTTTTGAACTCGGAGTTCCACCTGCCTCTACCTCTCTACTGGGATTAAAGGTGTGTGCCACCACTGCCTGGCTTAGTCTTCATCTTTGAAGATTCCCATGACCTGCTGGAGCAACTGATGCCTGTCTCTAAGTCATTGTATGGGACTGACCCAGGGCTGAGGAAGCTGGAAGCCTGGGAGAAAGTGGAGGGGCTTGCACGTCTGGGACTGCCTCAGTACAACTAGTGAACCTTGTAGACAAGCAAGGAGCTTATCACCACAGCACCATAGTCCATGTTCATGTCTGTGTCATGTGTGTGAATGCACACGTGTGTGTGTGAGTGCATGCTTCCCCATCGCTGTCTACCCCAGAGTATGAAAGAAGTCTAGCCGTGCTCTTTCAGGCATGTGTCTCTTGGAGTCTAAGCTGACTCTGCTGAACTAAGTTGGAGGAGTACAGAAGAGACCACACCATCCCCATTGGCCAAAGGCCGAAGGCTATTTGATTCTTTACTATATTTCTCCTGTATGACTCTTTGTATTCTTTTAGGAAGGACATTACACATAAGTGCATCATGTTTCTCAACGTTTTTTAAAGAAACACTTCATTTTCTCTAGTTAGCATACATCATATATATTTATTGCACCCAATGTGCTGTTCTGATGGGTGTATATATCCTGGGTTGGCTAAATTAGGGTAATTAACATATGTCTAACTTCACATACTTCCTTTCGTGGCTAGACACCTTAAGATCTACTTTCCTACTCATTCTCGAGAATGAACTATTTCGTTATTAACCCTAGTCACACGTGAGTTTTCTTGAACTTAACTTTTCTCATTTTAATGGCTCAGTATGAAATCTGGACTGAAGTTAGACTGCTCTTTCTTTCTTTCTTTCTTTCTTTCTTTCTTTCTTTCTTTCTTTCTTTCTTTCTTTCTTTCTTTCTTTCTTTCTGTGCTTTGGAGCTAAATTTAGGCCAAACATAGTATTGCTAAATAAATACTCCATTGTGTTATTCGAGTTCACCAAGTGACTCTACTGCACAGATAGGCATGGCAGCTGCTCCTCCATGTTGGCAGCGACTAGGTACCATGGGCCTTACACAGGGCTCATATGAAGTAGGTACTGAACAAATCCCAGGGGCCGAGAGGATCAGGGTCATGACTAGTAAGTGATGGCTCCTCCATCTGACCCAAGTACTGTAGTTCTATCACAGGGCTCCTGCAGAGGACAGGGCAGGGAGTGGGTGCAATTGGCCAACTTCTTTTGCCTGTGCATATGAAAGTGTGTTGGTGTGTGTAGAGGTACATTTGCATGTGTGTTTGTATACATGTGGAACTAAGGGACAATCTTGGGTGTCATTGTTCAGGTGTCATTGATCTAGTTTTCTTGAGGCAGGAGCATTAGACTAGGCTGGCCAGCTAGCAGGTCTGAAGGACATGTTTGCTTTTACCCCTCTCTAATGCTGGGATTCTAAGCATGCACCCAGCTCTTCTGCACTGGTCCTGGGACTGAACTCATGCTCTCAAGGTCAATGCCTTTGCCTGTGCATATGTGCCACCTCCCCAGCCCTGAGGTAGATGAACTTTTACCTGTGTCGTGAGAGAAGGGGTCTGAGGAAGAGCTGGGCTTGAGTATCCTCTTCAAGGACTCTGCATCCCTTCTTCTGTTCCATCTAGAGCATGCTCTGTAGACAGCACACTTTACTTTTAGGAGTTGTGACTGGTTCTGGCGCTGGCCTAACCCACTTCCCAGTGGCCAGGCTGTATTGTGGATAGATAGGGATTGGGGAAGAATCATCTTGTGTCACAGTTAGTGCAACACTAAACATCTGTGCTCCCTTGCATGTCTACGAACAGTTTCCTGTGGGGCAGGAATTTTCCATTTAAGGACTGTACTTCCATCTGTGTGAGATGGGGCTGTGTACACAAGTGAAAGTGATTTATCATTTTCCGATCCAGGAGTTTAAAGAGGAAGTAGAACCCTTTGGGGGTTGCATATCAGGTATCCTGCATATCAGATATTTACATTATGATTCATAACAGTAGCAAAATTACAGTTATGAAATAGCAATGAAATAATTTTATGGTTGGGGGGTTCACCACAACATGAGGAACTGTATTAGAGGATTGCATCATTAGCAAGGTTGAGGACCACTGGTATAGAGCTTCCCAACTTGTCTGCTCACCTGCTGAGGGCATGTCAACAGTCAGTGTGACCCTGAAGCCTCCTGCTGTCTATGATGGTATGTACTAGCTTGGGCCCTAGGGACTGATTGCACCAGAGTCTCCCATTAACAGAAGCCAGGAGGTCTTGGGTTAGACAGTTACTTGAGAGGAAATAAAATTACACAGCAAGAAGTCATCAGAGTGTGTATTATAGTGTCTGACTGTACCCTAGCCCAACGGAACTCAAATAGTGGCACCTTCAACAAGACCTTCAGGGTTCTTGTGGAATTTGTTAGAAGTGCTGATTCGTAGGGACCACTCCACAAGACAGTCTGAAAACTCAGACTAAGCCCCAACAATGGGGCTTTGACAAACTCCCAGGGCATCCCAAGTTCTAACTTAAGTTAAAATCCCTGTCCAAGCCTAGTCACTGTAGCATGGAGGTCTCTAGTTAGTTCCCAGCTGCTCAGCCCTGAAATAACCACACAGAAACGGTATTAATTAAATCACTGCTTGGCCCATTAGCTCTAATTTCTTATTGGCTAACTCTTACATATAAAATTAACACATCTTCATTAATCTGTGTATCGCTACGTGGTAGTGGCTTACCAGGTAAAGTTCCATCTGACTCCATCAGGGCTACATGGCTTCTCCCTGACTCAGCCTTCTTTCTCCCAGCATTCGTTTCCTAGCCTAGCTATACTCTATTCTAGCACAGTTTCTTTATTAACCAATGGTATTCACAGCATACAGAGAGGAATCCCACATCAAGTCAGAATTTCATTTATAGCTTCTGAATGGAAATCCAGCCTCAGGCCTCTCACCTGTTTTTTACTCTCTCCCAAGACCACTCTCATCTCCAGCACCAACTTCGCCTCTTTGGCACCTTCTGTAGAAGACAGTAGTAATATCTACTCTATTTTTAAAAATGAAAATAACTAATGTAGGGGCTAGAGGCATGGCTCAGTGATTAAGAGCACTTGCTGCTCTTCCAGAGGACTTGGGTCCCAGCACACACACATGGCAGCTGACAGCTTTCTGTAACTCCTCTCCAGGATATCAAACACCCTCTTTTGGCTTCCTTTGGGTACTAGGCACACAATATACTGTACAGATATATAGATAGACAAAGCATGCATGTACAAACAAACAACAGATAAATAAATGCATTTAATTTGATTTGATTTTATGTGTGTGAATATTTCAGTTGCACATATGTCTGTGCACCACTAGGGTGCCTTGTACACACAGAAGCCAGAAGAGGGTGCTGGATTCCCCAAAACTGGAGTTACAGATGGTTCACGAGCCATTGTGAGAGTGGCGGGAATAGAACTTGGGTCCTCTAGAAGAACAGCTGGGTCTCCTAACTGTTGAGCCATCTCTCCAGTACCAACCACTCTAATTCTTGATATGAAGGCATTCTGAGTTGATTCACTAATTTCATCCCCCCCCCCTTTTTTTCTTTGTCTTGACAGCTACAGAGAAGCATCGATAATAGGCTCACTCCTCAAGAAGCTATAAAGTATGGTTTCGATCAACTGCGCTTTGGATGGGGTTTGTTGTCAGCACTGGGTTTTAAATGCAGTAATGGAGACTCAGAGGGCAGATCAGATGGGGAGGAGGTCTACGAGTGAAGCCTGCTTCTTTGTTGCCGGTCTCTACATTGTTTCCATCCCTGGGTCTCCAGGTGACTGGTCTTTCTCAGAGAGACTTTTGAGTTGCAACCTCATTGTACTGGTGATAGAATCACACCAGGTGCCCAGACCATCCAGGGAAACGTTTTTGCTTGCCATTTTCCTAAATATGCCAAACATAGACATACATTCGTCTTCTGTCTGTGACTATGAATTCAAGACATCCTACAGAGAAGGAATGAGTGGGCTAACTAATAAGGCGGTGGCTCACTGAAGCACTTTAGTGGGACTTGGCATGTGTGGAAACAGTTCGGATTTCTACCAAGGGAGAAAACATTTTCTGCAAAGGAGCTGGCACCCTGCTGCAGTTGTTTGGAGCAGACAAACAAATGGCCATGGTACTTGTGGGAGATGAGGGACACCTGATGTGAGTTAGGGCAGTGCTTCTCAAACTGGAACCTGTGTTAGAGTCTCTTGTAAGGCTTGATAAAACACGGCTTCCTGCAGCCCACCCCCAGAGTTCCTGCCTGATTCTGATATGGCTGCTGTAGGAATCACTGTAAGCAACACTGGAATAGGGTAACACCAAATACTATAGCTACCCCTGCTTGTCAGCAGCCTAAGTCTGTGAGAGTATATTCTCATTCATTAACAGGGAAATGGCTGAATAGTTTCCCCAATACTATTGGGAAATGTCAGATGTGAATGTATTGATTCCAAATGTTGACAGAGAAAGGTAATTTGTCAAGTAATTTAACAACATGATCTCATTTGGGGGTGGGAAAAAACCCCCAAAACCAACCACACTTTTCTTCAGACCCTGAATCGAATCCTATGTTGAGGGAAGATTGAGTGAAGGGTGGAGACTACACCTGCAAGAAAGATAAGGGAGTTAAGAGAGAACAGCTTGCTAACAGTACTCCTGCATTGCTTAAGGGGATGAGAGCAGTTTTAAAATGCAAGAAAGAATAAAAAGTACGTTGGCATCCCGTAAAGGGATAGTTTGAGCCTGCTTTGTTTCTCCCCTGCAGGCGAGGGGTAACATTTTTTTCTATCTATAGGTGAAATAATATTGGAGTTTAGTAGTTTCGATGACTGAATGAATAATGAATGACCATGCATGCAACTCTACCTCTTGTTTCTGGCACCTTGGGTGAGGCAAGATGAACAAATCATGTAGGGATTTTCAACGGGTGATGTGTTGAGTGGCCAACCACCCCATGGTACTTCATGATGCTCCTGGCTGCAGGTGTGTATTACACAGTACGGCCTTGCCTGCATGGGCCCAGGACAGGTGGACCCCAGTGGTTCATTCCTGAGAATGGGTGGTCAATGATTTCAGTACTGATGGACAAGAAAGTGTTGCTCTTGGGAGACAAAACTAAGAAAGACAGACCCAAAGAAACCAGACCAAGACTCAAGTCTCCACACTCACAGGTAGCCATGAGTGCTTGTTCTAGCCTGGGCCCTGGAGATATGGTGCCTTCAGGTGGGAGATGAGGGCAGCTAGCTTCAGACAGGCAAGACTGACCTTAGACTCCACTTAACTGTACTTCTGGGCTCTCTCAAGTAGCTCCTGGGTACGAAGACTTTGGGCTATGTGTTGGGGTCTCTGCCAACCCTACATAGTGCTGGGAGCCAGGAAGCCCAGGTTACATTTTACAACCTCACCTGGCATCTGCTCCATTATGGGAACAGAAAAGGAAAAACCAGTTTGAGATCCAGGGGCACTCACCCAGGATGAGGCGGGGAGGCCAGGTCTTTCCTGGGAGAGACAGTAGAGGGCGAAGAGACAGTTTCTAGGTGGGAGAACTCCCCAAGGAAAGAATCTAGTCTGCAGTGCTGGGATAGGAAACCCCTTCATAGGAAACTAATTCAAGAACAATTTGATTTAATGCCCCACAGGGGACTGAGAGCACAGGATTGAAAATTCAGATCTTATTTCTATTAAATATGACCATAGGAAGGCTTCCTGCTTAGTTGAAATATTGACTTTTTTTTCTTTATAACCATTCTATGAAAAAGATGTTACTAACATCATTGTTGCCAGGGGGGAAACTGAGGTCCAGATACATGGCTAGCAAGTAACACTTATCAGTGGATTGATATTAGTCAATTTCCAGCCAAGGAATGGGAATGTTTCTAGTAATTTTAAAGAGTGGGGGATTTAATGTAGAAATGAGTTAGATAAGTTGGATTTTGGCAAGAGGAGGCAGCTGCTACCATCTTTTATCCATTACTTCTTCCCATCCCAGGGGTCCAGGCTGTTCCCAGAAAGCTAAACCATGAGAGTTTGTAACTAGTGAGGGAAGACAGCGTGCAAGGCACAGAATAATTGCCAGAGACACCGTGGAGGACTGGAGGGAGGAGGAAGAATGGGGTGCTCTCCCCTCTAATGTTTCTCATTGATTGACGTTACTCTTTTCTTTCTTTTCTCCCTCTGTCCCCGCCTCTATCCCTCCCTTCCCTTTCCTTTTATTCTATAGAGTACTACTTGAGTTTGAATGAGAAATCTCCTTCACTAGCTCATGTATTTGAACACCTGGTGCCCAGCTGGCATTGCTGTTTGGGGAGGCTGTGAACTTCAGAAGGTGCAGTCTGCTGGAGGAAGTAGCTGCTGGCGGCAGGCTTTGAGATTCCGTCACTCTACCTTACTTCTTATTCTCTGGTTCTCCTCAGTGTTTGAGGTTGAACATGTGATCTCACAGCTTCCTGCTCCAGCCATTGGCTGCCATACCACTCGCGCCATTATGGACTCTCTCTGTGGAACCATAAGCCAAAATAAACTCACCCATAAGTTGCTTTTGGTCATGATGTTTTATGTAGCAACGGAAAATAGCTAATACAGCAGCCCACACTGGGTTATCACTCACTAGGTAGACCAGTCTGACCTTGAGCTCGTGATGGTCCTCCGTCCCTCGCTGTTGGGAAGACAGTTGAGTGCCACCATGCTCAATGCCCGTTCCTTTTTGATGGTGATCTCCTTCCTGTCTCCATCCCTCTACTTTTCCTTCTCCCATATTTTCCAGTAAATTTCAATCATTTACTAGGTTTCATGTATTTGTGTGAAAAATAGGAATTCAGTGGCAAACAAAATAGTTTTAACAAACACACACAGATCTGAACCTTGAGTGCTCACTCATTAGTAGCTCATGGCTCAAACTGAAAGCCATGAAGTGTGTCTATAGGAAAGATCTATAGCAAAGTAGTAGTGCGAATTTTAATATAAAGGTTCTTAGAATGCGCCTAAAATTGAATTTATAGTCTTAAGCATTTGCAGTGAAATAAAGATGATAGGAAAAGAAAAATCAGGACTCAAAGTTCAGTAGCTCAGGGAGGGAATCATCGGCTAAGCAAAAGGAAGCAACAAGTTCATGCGTGTTAAAGACAAAGAACCAACCGAGAACATAGGGTCCAAAAGTACAAGGAAAGAAACGGGGTTCTGAGGGGTGGCATTACATGCAGTGGGAGGGTGACTGAGCCATTTTAACCAGACCTCGGAACGGTTTTGAAAAGTATACTTTTATGAAAACCACAATTTACCAAAACTGACTTAAGAAAAAGAAAGAAAAAAAATCAACTAGATTTAAAATGAGCAACGTCTTGCCATGTCAGGTCAAATTTACAATTTTGAATAAGGAGCCAGCGGCCCAGAGACAGAGAGCGCACTGCTTGGAGTCTGCAGCTGGGAAGGGGTGGAGGCAAAGCCAGGTATGTCTGAGTGTGAGGCTTAGGCTTCCCTCGTGGGGCGGGCGGGAGCTGATGAGGCCTTTGCTGGGAAATTCCCCAGAGACGCCTGCTATTGGGTTGCTCAATCAGCAGCACGTTCAATGCACCTCTAGGAGAGGCATTTGGCACCTGAATTTCCCCTGAACATTTCTCCATCACCATCTCCAATTACTGCACATGTGGGCAGCCTCGAGCTGCTGAGCTGCCGGGAGATCTTCCAAGGCCGCCCAGCAGAGAGGGGCAGGGTGAGCAGCTGAGCCTCCGCCTGGGGCTCCTTGACTCAGCAGACTCCCAGCAGAGGACTGCCCAGTGTATGCCTCTGTCTGTGCATGCAGCGCAGGCCTCCGAGACAGGCCTCCATGAAGCCCTGTGGCTGGATGAGCTTTTCCCTCAAAGCTAGTGTGTTGAGCAGCTTGATCCCTAGGGTAGCATTATTGGAGGAGGTACGGCCTTTAGGAGATGGCCTTGTCACGGGGCCTAAGACAAACAGGGTCAAGCAACCATGGGCCAGAAGTTCCTTAAACTGTATGCCAAAATGAGTCTTTTCTCTTTCTAAACTCATTATGCTGGGTATTTTGTGACAGTGACAGAAGCTGACTGACCTGAGGGGCAACTCAGGGGCTAACTTTAACCCAAACAACCTCATGAAGGGGCGTCCATCACCTGTCTTGTTTGCATCCCTGTGACCTTTCTCTTGGGATCCTTACCCCTCTTTCCTTCCCTTTTGGGGTTATTATGGGGTTTACAAAGACAGAATCCTATCACGCGTGTTTAGGGGACACAGCCAATGAGAGCCCAAGCTTCATTTGTGATGTATGGCGCATCCCTTTCTCTTGGATTGACCGAATAGGAACAAAGAAAGCCTGGGATTTGGGGAGGCTACACATCTCCCTCTGCATCATGATGGCTAAGGGAAGTGGCAGTGGGGTGGGAAGGGGCAGATGTCCAGAGGAAGGTAAAGCTAAGAGGAACCTTGAGACATTTGACAATCCCACTTGGGCTTTCAAGTCCGGCTGTGCCGAGCATCCTCCCCATTTCCTGCAGGGAAGCCAATGTCATCCCTTTGTTCTTAGCTATGTTTTGAGTTGGGCTTTTGTCTCTTGAAGCCCAGAGAGTCCTGACTAAGGCCTCCATTTGTCTCAGCTTCCCCCTCTCCCTGTTCCTTGGAGTGACTCATCCCCTCAACACCTTACAGCTCCCCCTGTCCTTCTCTTCAGTACGCTTTACCCGCTGCTTCTTGGTGAATGTTTAGCTTGGCTCTGGGTATTTTAATGGCAGACACAATGATGAAGGGCCATGAAACAGAACCCACCAAGCTGTGAGTCAATAAAACCGTTCTGCTTGGGGAGGAGACTGGGGCACACTAATGACCATGGCTAACGTTGAGTCAGGAAGCATTAGTGTGCTTGGAGTACATGAGGTTATCCCATTTTCACAGCCATTCCACACACAACTTCTGTTATGGCTCCCATTTAATAGATGGGGAGACCGAGGTCAAGGGCTTAAATAAATTGCCTAGGGTCACAGAGTTAAGACACGAGAAAACCAAGTTATGGACTTAAGAATTTTACGTTGCAGTCCCTGCTCTGAACCAACTTACTGACTTGAATCAATCAGTGACTTCAGATAAGGTTGCTTAGTGAGAGGTGACTTCAGTCCCTTCCCCAAGTTACCTTCAGTATTCTTTACATAGTTTCTTCAACTTAAAGAGCCTAACATAACAAAAAATTAAGTTTGTGTTTTGATGGGGAGAGGAAATACTTTGAGTTAATGGAAGAAACTGAAACAAAATAAAACCCCAAACAACAGCCATTTCTGCAAGAATTATGCCCCCACAACAGAACAGCGCAGCCCTGTCTGCAAGAGGGAAGGCTGACTGTCATAGCTCACCTCTTTTCGGAAGCTTAGAGCTAGAGCTTCATCCTTAGGTCCCAAGTACGTTCTCAAGGTTCCCCCTGCACCTCTTTCTCCAGGCAGCTTCACTGTGTAATGTCTGGTATGTCAGTCTGGAGTTATCACAGGTTCTAAAGCATTGACGCACACAAGATGAGGCCGCTCTCTTACCCTTTCCTGTATCCTTACCCCACCCCGCGACCCCGACTTTCTTGTTCTGAAGTGACAGCTCCAGAGACATTGGTGATGTGGATAAAAAGTAAATCAGGAGCCACTTACTTTAGGCTTATGGTCATGTGGTTTGCAGTCACTTCTGTGGACGGGCCTGATAATTGCTAGTCATCTCTGTGTGGAAATGGCTTCCAAGAACACTAGGAGCACCTCCTGTGCCGACTCACGTGTGACAAGGTATGTCGTGACACAAAGGCTGCAGGCCAGAGGTTGTGTCACCTCGTGAACGTGCCCTGTTGTGCCCTCGTGATGGCTGAGAAACCAAGTTTGAAATGGACAGAGGCAAGTTTCTCTCTCTCTCCCTCTTTCTCTTGTTTGCATTTTGAATCCCAGATGCAGGCAGTTTTGGCTAAAGAGTGATAAACTGTAGCCCTGATAGACCACAATAAATTAAAAAAAAAAACAACAACAAGCAAACCCTTTGGTGTAATTTCAGGCTCTGTTTACTCCTGAGCACAGACAGACTGCTGGTGTTTTGGATAGAGCTGTGGAGAAGCCCACAGAAACAGGCACAGACTTTTAGCGTTTGAAGTAACTGCTGATGGCATTTCACAGCCAGACTCTTGTCTCGCTCGGCACTTGGCTTTAAGTAAATCAAGATCACGCTGAATAGATGCCTTGGTGTTTCAGTTCTATTTAGTATTTTATTACAAGCATTGTCTTAAGTTCTGGGTTATCTCGGTATAACAGCACTCTCGCGGGGCCACAGGTTCTTGTTCCCGTCAGAGTATCAGTGTGTCTTTAGCCAGTCTACTCTCAGAGCACATTGAATCATTTCTAGAATATTCATTATTACAGACAATGTTCTAACGAATAACTTGGTATACATATTTGCCTTTCACATAAATTATGAGACAAGGAATTAATTGGTTGAAAGATAAGTAAGTGCTTGCTGCTAAGTCTCAAGACCTGAGTTCAAGCCCCAGGCCCCATGTGGTAGAAAGAAAGAACCGACTCCTACAGGTTGTCCTCTGACTTTCCACATACATGATGTGGTATATGGAAGCATACAAACACAGACAAACACACAGGGAGACAGAGACATGCATGTATGCATGAGCAAATGGCATGCACACACACACAAAATAAAGAAATGTAATAAAATACAATACAAAATAAAATCAGAATCTGGAGCTGCTCAACACAAGTGGTTAAAATTAAGTGTTTTTTATTCTATCAAAAACTAGGCATTATTCTCTATTCTCTATTGCCAATCTGATAGGCAAAAATGAAATCAGATATGGTGGAACACACCTATAATTCCAGCACTTGGGAGACTAATATAGAAGGTCAAGGGTTTGAGGCCATGTACAAGTCCAAGCCAGTCAACATCCCAGCATGGACTCAGGAGGGGCTCGTAAGCCCCCACTCCTGGCTAAGGAGCCAGTGACTGTTGATAACTGTTGTGTGGGAAGGAGGGTCAATTTTCTTTAAGGGTGTGGCCCCCAGTAGGTGGACCGTGGTCCCCTGGTTAGCCCTATACCTGTGACTACATAGGCAACACAAGTTGCTATCAGTGAACTAAAAAAAATTGACAGGAAGACACTAAGTCAAGGGGGCTAGAGGGTGAGGGGTGGCTCTGGGAGGAGTTACGGGGAAGAATAGACGTGAATATGATCAAAAGATTCTATACATGTATAGAGTTCTTAAAAAGTAATTTAGATTATATAAAGCAGGTGCAGCCTGCTCTCTGGATAGCGTGAAGTGTACCGAAATCTTTCTGGGTTCTGATCCTTCATGCCGACCTTGCAATCCATAGATTTCACCTATCACCTTGCAACTTGTGTGTTAATTTCCTGCAGCTCAGGCTGCATTCAGGAGTAGCATCCATATGCCCAGCACTGTCTTCCTCACCGAGGAAGAACTCAAAGAATTTCTATGGAAAGACCGAGCAATCTCTGCATTAAAGCAATGACATTTCAGG